TGATTGGTGGACGCTTCTTTATCATCGCCATAGTCGCCCCAAATCTACAAGGGTTGTTTGGCTTTCTCTCCAAATCAATAAGCACGTGCAAGCTTCGCCCCGGCTTGGCTCTCGTAATTTGTAGGTTAGGCTTCGTTTCAACCGCATCGAGGTGAACCAAATTTAATTCAATTCACTCACACGCAATGAATACTTTCACGGATGAGTTCAGCGATTTCAGTTGGAAAATTTGTAAAATACGGTTTACGAATCTCGATTTTCCATTCGGCCGATTAAACGTTCCGCGAAACCGATTTTGCCTCGCGAATTGTCCTAAAATTATCTAAAGAACCGTGGAATTCTCGACGCGGAACATGTTAATTGACGGAGTCGTAAATTAACCGAAGCAAACACCTGCAGATTGCAACACGTGTTCTATCTATCACCGGCAAAGATGGAGTAAAAGGATGCGTGTTACACGAAACAGGTTCTTTTCTTCTCTTTCTTTCATTTTTTTTCTCAAGCGTGAATCACGTCGGAAAGTAGATTGAACTCGACTGTGAATGACACGTTTGATTAGATGAAGAGAAAAAGATTGTTTGCCCCGGTTGTTTCTTTGACGAAGTCGACAGGTGCGCCGAGCGCCACCCAGCTGCTGCCTCGCTTCCAATATCATTCATACGGCCCCAAGTTTCTGACAGCAATTGTTTCTCCGCCGTTTCCTTATCGAATATGCTATTGTCCAGTGAAAACAGAAACGACTATATACCCCCCCCCCCTCCCCCCGAGCAAAATATATATTTAACGTCAAGCCGTTCTAGCGAGATAAAGAGTCATTCCTGCAGGTAAACTGAACGTCACCGGCTTTATCAGCGATCGTGCCAAAAAAAAAAAAAAAAAATAAAGTTTCATATCTTGGAAAAGTTGCTCAGCCCTCATTTTCAAACGAAAATCGAACGAGCCTCGCGCGAACGGCGACTTTCCAATAAAATTTCGCGAAGAATCTACGGACGTGTTACACACGTATATGTATGTGTCGCGCGAGCGAACGTACGAACGAAATTCATTCGTCGGATCAACTAATTTCAAGCGTAAGCGAGAAGCGTATTTTTCCATCGGAGGGGGCGTTTGTCCGCGCACGCACAACAGCTTGATAAAAGAGACCCCGGTTAATACATAATGTTGACCCTTTAATTTTTAACGCAGTCAGCGTTTCTCTCTGTCTGGCCAGTGGGGGTGGCGCGCGTAGGGGCGGCTTCATCCCCTATAAAGGCGCGACTGGATATCAAAGTCGCTATTTATAAAGAGCCAGGTCGTGCCACCAACACCGAGCGGCTCTGTCGCGTAAAGACGCGGTTCGACGCACACTCGCGCGTCGCCCGGGCCCTCGATAATACGCATTTCCATACATACACGCGCGCGCGCGCGCGCGCACGCGGAAAGGAGACACGCGAAAGAGGACACGTGGAGGGACCGGTCGTACGTATTTGCATATAGAGAGCGTTAGCCAAGGGAAATAGAAGCCGAATACGTGACAGCCTTGCTCTGGGAGGCGATTCTTCGCCGGGAGACGGACACTTCCTATCAGCGAGTTCATTAATAACCAGACGAAGCTGGCCAAAGGTGAGCCAGCCCGGCTAAATGGCCGAACATCTCCTCCCTTCGTGTCCTTTCTCCTCGGTCAGCTTTTAATATCTCAGCAACGATCCATTGTCTTTCCGCTGGACGACCTCGTCCGGTTTGACGACCAGTCAGCCGGTAAACTGGCGAACTTTGGCCTTTGTCTCTCTCCCTCTGGCGAGAACGGGGAGATGTCGCGAAAGAATCGGAGCGAACGATCGATCTTAATTTTCGGAATTTCCAAATTTCGGTTTCGGTCGATCGTGTGCAAACGTGTAAAACAAAGAAGGAGAAAAAAAAAAAAAAATACTCCGGACCCTTCATTTGCGGCTCGGCATTAATCCCACTCGCGAGACAAACGCTTTATCAGACTGTGTACTTGGTTTGTTCTACGGATAAATACAGTCCCAAAGGCAAATGGGATAAATCTGAATAACACGTTTCAACCGACGGCTATGGTGTCCCTTGATAAGGGTACGAAGGGGTTGGTGAATGATTAGAGATATTAATATTGCTCGGTAGAAGGGTGCAAACTACCAAAGTCCTACGGAAAGGGTGATACGTACGCTTAAACATTATCCTCTGTACGTATACCGTAGGAATTTATAGACAGTCTTTGGCTCGGGCGGAACTGCAGCTTATCGCTGTCTATCAAACCTATCAGAGACATCGAACGTACCTATACACATTCCGGGTGTCCACTTTAATGTAGCGATATTTAATTTCCAACTAAAAGTCATCCATGTGTATATCTTCATTGAAAAAGAAAGGAAAGAAAAAAATTTTTTCATCAAGCCTCGTGACTAAAAAGAAATTTCCCAAGCAGCCAATCGTTGCGAAAAAGAGCAACGTGAGAGCGTAGACGGGACGATCCTTTGGATCCTTTGGATCCGATAGCCGCGAATTTCTTAATCGACTCACGATTTTAATTTCGCTGCGCTCTCGATCAACCGCAGTGTGCTAGGATCACGAGCGAGCAAGGGTTACGTCTTTCCTCTCGGAGAAGATCTCGATCTCCCGACGGTACGTAACCCCGGCGGAGAGTGTCGGATCGCAAACAAACGCGGATCCGAGGGTTCCGCAAACTAATTCTAATCTGGGCGCTACCGACAAATCGCTCGCCATAAATCTGGAGCCAAGAAACCGAGAGCCAAGACGTTCGTAATCGAAGATAAACCGCCGTGCCGCGCTGCCGCGCGTCTCTGTTTTCCAGCCCCACCACCGGGAAGCAACTATCGTATAGTTATCAAAGTCGAAGCAGGACGCCGAAGCACCAAGGGAGGCGGGGAGGCAACCAGTCAACGGAGGGCTGCCACCGTCCTGCTAACTTATCCGGATAAATCAGAAATCCCGTCGAGTTCGTTGCACGTGAACCACGAACGACCAATCACTGTTGCTGAACGTCGCCACGATAAAGGATTTCGGCTTCGGCAGAAACTCGAGACAACTGGAGCCAGTGTTCGGAATACACTTTTGCGCGTCCATCTTCGCGAAACTTACGAGAACTTGCGTCTCGTGCCAAATTGCCAAATCAAATCACTGAATCTGAACTAAATCTTCTCTTTCCAAGTTGAAATTCTATTTTTGTAAAACTCTGCGTATCTATCGTCACGACTGACCGTTGAAAAAAGAGTCCTGCTAGATGTCTAATCAACGAGTTGATCAAAACTAAACGACTTCGCGTCTGAATAGCTTCTAACATCTACGCATTCTTTCATCCCGGAACTTTTGTTCCGCGTAAGAAAACTGACAACGCGCCCAAAGAATCACCGGAAGATTAAATGCTGCTTAGAAAGCAACCGGTGAAACCGTGAAGCGTTGAGCAAGTGGTCAAGCTTTTGACACCAACGAAGAATTTGACACCAGAGATTCGGACGTTGTTAATCATCGGCAATAACGATCGACTAATCCTAAAACGATCCGGGACAAACGGTGGTTGTCGCCACGGCCACGTCTTTCACACGGTGTTTTACGGAACAAAGCTAATTACGTTTCATAAATCATTCACTGTCAGAGACGATTCTATTCTTCTAATCACCGCGACAATCAAGATTCTATTCGATTTGGTGGATTTTATTGTTCGAAGCGCGGCGTCTCTCTCCGAGATAGAGCAGTTGTCATAAAGGGATTCCTGATCCCAATGTCTGACTGGTTGACGAGATTGATCGCTTCTCAGCGACAATCGTTGTCGTTTGGGAACAACGAAGACCCTTTTCGCCCCACTGGTGAACGAACCGGTACCGTGTGCTATACATCACGGAGATTGAAACATTTCCTTATTATTACGAACGCGGGCATAGATTAATTCCATGGTATTACAAACGTCCACGCTCTACCAACATTCGTTCGAATAGCTCTCTCGCGCCGCGACGTCGGCCCGCTTGACACTCACAGGACGGTTAACGTCTTTGTTTAAATCGAGCCATGAATACTCTTTGTTCTTCCCCCTCTTGCAAATACGCGTGCGTATATTCGTTGTGGGGACTTGCGTGCAAGACGGTGAAAATACCATTCTCTAATGTGTCGTACGTGACGGCGATATTTGGACGTTGCTGTAATTTTATTAGCGAGATTGAAGCTGAATAGACCAGTGGCCTTTGCTTTCTTTTATTTTTTTTTTTTTTTTTTTCTTCAAGTTCGAGCGAAGGAAAAGGGAATGTCTTTTAAATTTTAGAAATAACGTGGAATTCGAGAGAGTCAGCGAAAAAAATTGTTTTCCACGGAATCGGAAGAGAAAGTGGCTCCCAATTGATTTAGCAACGGAAGCATTTAGACTGATGACGTTCCACGATTCGCTCTGTCCCGCGCGAAAAACATTGATTAATATGGAACGTTTCCTATTAGCGTAATGCGATACAACGGCAGCGAAATAAGCGAAACTGACATCGCTGGCTAAGAAAAACAGTAATTAACACCGGGTGGGAAATTCACCCCGTGTTCGCTGTTAGATCCCAGTTTCCGACTCGTCAATGACGAGTAGTTCACACACCTTGCGTTCAACACGCGAGCCCTGCTCGCGATACTGCCGGGGGAACTTAGCTACAAATGGAACTTGGACGAATCGATAAATTCGGGAATCGAAGAAGAGACTCGTACCTTCTTTTCGAAATAAAAACGAGAAACAAAAATGTGAAATTTTCTTTTCTTTTCTCGCATATCTACGCGAATAACGCACGATCCACCGTGGTTTATCCTTGCTCGATAGTAATAAAGGAGAGAGCGTAAGAGCGTCTTACGAATCAGCGACACTTTTGGCCGTCCTTGATGCGCGTTCACAACGGTGAACAACGGGTGGTCCATCAAGGGCGGCGGCTGTTAAAGCGACTCAAGGAATCGTCTCTTCCAACTCGAGTAATTGGCGTTCGCGGTTCGATCATTTGCGGCCGTGTAATTTTCATTACCTGTTCAATGCTGTCTGTACGTCGATTCCTATTCTGCCATCGATAAATTTTCGTCTGCAACGAATGACGTGACTCCGACCTGCGATCATTGATCTCTCTGAAAAGAAAAGAAAAAAGAGAATCGTAAAAAAATCGCGATGTTTTTCACGATAGAAATTTCATTCGACGTGAGAAAACAACGATGCAAATTCATCTTTGCGAGAATAAACAAAGTGTAATGAACAAAATACATGCCGTGTAAATACAAAACGTACACGTGTATCTTCATCGACAACGAGATCTAGCAAGTTCCCTATTTATCGCGAAAATAATCGCGGACAAGAGGCGTAAGTCATACTCTCGTGTATTGCTTCTGGCCGCGCGTTGTTCCGCTAAGGACTCTTGAAAAACATGCTTAAACAACCTCTCCGGTTGCGCCGCGTGTGTCTTTCCTTTTCTTCCGCCCGTACCCTCTCGCGGTTAATCTCGTAAATTGCCGTCGCCGCGAGTTGACGGGAATATTTACTGGAATCTAAGTTTATAATTACCAAGAAATCCAACGCCGCGTATATACGTATCGGACGTGGCCCTACCGATCTCGTTATAAACTAGGATCGCACCGGAGCGTTCTCTCCCTCGTTTCTGTCACCTCGCGCGGCGCTCCTCTTGTGCCTCGGTCCTCTCACCGGTTGCTCCTCGTGCCCCCCCCCCCCCACCCTTCGCTCCACTCTCGTGGCCGCGTATTACGAATCGCCTTCCACGTCAACCACGGCGAATTAATGCACGTAATATGTTGGCCTCGGGCACGTTTACGGGTTTACGTTCCTTCTGGTATAACTTAAGACCGGCTCGTAACGCAGGGTTGTTGGTGTATCGCGGGTGCAAGGATTCATTGGCCGTTAAGAAATCGTCGTCGTCTTCGTCGTCGCATCGATTCAGTTCTTTCTTTTCTTTTCTTTTTTTTTTCCGGGCTTGTTCGTGCCCTTCTCTCTACCCTTATTTTTCTCTCTACCCTTCCACTCCCGCTCTGGCCGATCTCTCTTCTCCACAGTTATGTCGACAACGTTCGGAATTCGTGTACATACGTGTACATACGCACGACGTCGTACACGCCGGCAATCAGCTTTCGATTATTTATCACTCTATTAATCCGCGAATAGGCACCGATCGGTCAGCCAATTTGTAATCGTTAACCGAGCCCGATTCGGAATATTCCGCCACCGGTCGCCCCCTTTTCCAGACAACACACGTAACGTAGAAGTTATTACGATCGCACCTTGCTACGCGCACTTGGTGCCCGTGTTGCACGACATTTTTCGAATCTATACTCGCGGCGACTCGAGGATATAACTTGAGATCGATGAACGAGCCAGAGGCGATTTTTATTTCATTTTATGACCGATCGTGAAAATAAACATCCTTTTACAAAAATAGTACGGATAATTGTCGATTTGATATAGGAAACAATTTGCACGGAATGCAAAGATAAAAATTTAGATAAGAAAAGGAATCGTGTGTTTTCATTCTTCTTATACGAGAATTAAATGAACATAGTTTAGCTAAGATCTAGCTTAATCCAGCTAAGATCCCTCAAATTGCTACGAATGATCGTTCCATTATTAAAGTGGCAAAAGTGGCATGCATAACGACGAACAATGTTTGACTAATTTTAATTAAGCGATGGCGTATTTGCCATATGTTTCCGCTTAATCCGGTTCGAACATTTGCTCGCATTGTCCGAAACTTTCGTGGAAAACGAAGCGGAGAACGTGCCTTTTCCCTTTCTTCTAGCGTACGCGAGGTCGCGTTCAGGTAGGTCCAGGCAATGATATATTGGCCATTACCCTGAGCATAGCACCTGTTAATGCGTTTCTCTTCTGGTTCGCGGTTCAACACCTGACTCTGGCTAGTCCATTCACTGTTCTCTCGACGGTTTGCTTTCGTCACTATTCTTTACAAGAATATCGCGCAGCGGGAGCCACCCGGTTCGAATTAGTATTGCCTTTGTCCCTCTTGACAATTGCACGTCACGTGTTGGTGTTTCCTCGCTTTTTATCAATCGTCGATAAAAGCGTTCGATCGAAGAGCGTCTCGATAACGATAACACATTTTCACGCGTTATAATTTGATCCGATTATTTTTTGTTACTCATTTATCACGCGATACAAGATCCCTTGACTTATTTAGATCTTTAACGAATGAAAACCAAGAAACGTACCATTCGTTGCCAGACAGAGAGATGTTCGATCGATAAATTCAGTAAATATATCACAAAACGAGAGATCAAAGTATCTCGATCGATCCATATCTCCCCTTCCCCTAGTTTCACCGTGTTTTTAACAATTTCCCACCGCTTCGAATCAAGCCGTTTCATTCGCCCGCAGAGATATTTCCTCTCTGAGAAGTTTCAGCGGAGAGGCATTAGCCTCGTTCCTCTCTGTCTGATCCAGACAGGGGAGCCCGTCTTATTCGGCGAATCGACATCAGGAGGAAGGAGAACTTTGTTACCCGAAACCGGAATTCAACGATACTTTCCATATTTCAGAACTCATCGAGCACTCGCGAATAAAGTACAACGTTAATGCTTTCTTATCCTCGCGGCGGGGTGTGCAGGGAGGGCTGGAGGGGAGTTTAATACCTTCTTAAATATTCCCTCCATTCTCTCATCCCTACCCAACCCTCTCCGTCTCGAAAGATCTTCGCATTCCTCCTGCCTTCCGCTTCCCTCCCCCCCTCCGCCCCACCACGTCCCTCCTTACGGGTCGTAACTCCACGTCGACTCGAGTATTAGAAGGAGGGTAGTATTCTTAAAGGTAGAAACAAATAATACGATTACGTTCCGTTTCCGTTTATTAAAGAAACAAGATATCGCTGTCTGGCTGGATGATTCCCGAGGCCGGAGTCCTTCCTCAGAAACGTCGTTCCCGTCCCTCCTTCGTACCTATGGACACCACTCACTCTCTCTCTCTCTCTCTCGCGCGCGCGCGCGCGCTGGCACTCGATACCGAAACTCGATATACTCAAAGTCGCGAGAATTACTGCTCGCTGCAGATGGCACGCACTTGCGTCCCCGCGACGCGACGCGACGCGACAACCAGCGAAAAAACGCGTAAGCCTGCTTTTGTCCTGATCGTCAGACAGAGTTTCAACGATTTCCTGTGCCGAGCCTCCACCATATTCGATATCCTGCCGACTACGCTCGCTCGCTCGCTCGCTCGTCGCTGAAAACGTGAGAACGGCTTCGCTTCTTTCCTGTCGGCGGCCTCGAACGACGACAGGTCCGCTCCGAAAATAGGTCGATCGATTCAATCGCCGATTAAAGTCTGCCAGTCTCAGTCTTCCACGTTGTTACTTCACAGTGACGAACTATAGATTTCTGAAGGAGGAGGAATGTCGCGATCCACGGTAAAATCGCGTGGTCGATAAAATGTCAGAGTGGTTGATCTTTAATGCGACGATGAGTCGTTTGATTTATTGGGAATCGACACGTGTGTCAGCACGTGTTTGCGTGGCAAACCTCGCGTCGGTAGAAACGCGATAGACGTGCGCGACAGGTCGCAGAGGTTGCAGACGAGAGGAAGAAGTGGTCACCACCCACCCATGATACCACGGGAATAGCAGGTCCAACCCAGTGGACACGGCGCGACCAGTTAGCTAGAGCTCGAACTCTCACATGGCGCGCGTTATAGCACGTGCGGATATATTGAGACACGCGCTAACGCATTCTAATTATCATGTGCGTAATGGTGGCCGCTCGCCAAGCTTCAGAAATACATCAGACCGGCTCCACTATAGATAGGTAGACTCGCGCGGATTCCATAGAAATTTAGGAATATTCAGCTACGTGAAACGCCGGAACGCTCCCGAATATTTCGATCGTTTTGTTTCGAAGACGCTAGGCGGGGAGCGCGAACGTTACACAGGAGTGCGACGACGGAGAGAAACATTCCTCGATGAAGAATGGTCCGATGTAACGAAAGCCAGCTGGATTTCGGTGAATCCGTTCTCGCTTTGTGGAACTTTTCGAAGCTCCGAACCGACCAACCTAACCAAGGCGAGCGTTTTCTTTTCTTTTACCTTTCTTCTGGTTTACTTTGTTTGTCTCGTCTCTTTCGGAGAGACGAAATATATACGTATTGATGGACACTTGAAAGAGGTTTGTTCGTTAGAGATATTAATAGACGAGAAAGGTTCTCTCTCTCTCTCTCTCTCTCTCTCTCTTTCTTTCTCTCTGAAGATGAAACAGGGGGCCAGGCCAGGTGTATTTGAAATCGTTAATGACTGTCGACGACGAGCACGGGTTCGTCGATTGACGGTCGCGCGGGCCGGTCGTAGTAAGAACGCGAAGAAATGTCAAGCGGTTTCGGGCCAAATGACCATTCGTTCGCTCCGGCACAATGACACTTTTTTTTTTTTCATCCGAGCCGAGGACAATCACAGGTACGCTCGTTCCCTCCCTTCACGCTCTTTATTTCTCCTTCTTCCACGAACCATACGTCATCGAAGCCTTTCGTGTTCTCGTCGAACAAGAGGAAACCGACTGGCATTCAGTCGACAACGAATGCCCATATAGACGAGGCCCCCGACACGTCCCTCGCTTCTCCACCCACCCCTTTGCCTTCCTTCTTCGTCTTCGTCTTCGTCTTCGTCGTCTTCTTCTTCTTCTCTTCCTCCTTCTCCTCGTTCTTCTTCTTCGGTGCTATTGCTCGAAAGGCCCTGGTTTCGCGTCTCATTTTTTTCTACCGAGCCGATCTTCAATCTTCGAGCCACGGCCGTGCTGGTCATTGCCAGGTCGGAGTGATAGATGTGGAAATAATTATAGGCGAACGGTCGCGCAATAAAAGTAAAAACCATGTCAAATTTCGTTGGCCGGTAATGACTTTTGACCATGCAACAGAAAAAGTAAATAATAACTCTGTTACTCGCGTTTGACAATCACCGAGTACCGATTAATTTTCGCGAACATTCCTCTCGATAACCCGCTTGAGTCTGGCGCGTCCGTTCGTACGGCATCGTTTCTGGTTCCGATAGAATGAAAGAACAGAGCGTGTATACGTGTGCGCGCGCGGGCGTGTATGTGTGTGTGTGTGTGAGAGAGAGAGATCGGTCAAAAGGGAG